CTTTTGTGTGGTCGCAGTCTCCTTTCGTTGTATAGAAGTTGTTTGACCTTGTTTTTGCAACTCGGTTATATTGGTAGGAAGACTTAGAGGAACGCACCCTGTCCGGAGACCATAGTATGCATCATCATTTCCAGAGTAGGACCGTTGACATGGTACATTCCCAGACGTTTCGCCGGCATCATAGTCGGCATCGTCAGTGAGTCTCGCCATTCGTAGCACCATATTACAACGCGTCAAAGAGACTTGTCTGACGAGGCCGGCGAAACGTCTGGGAATGTACCACGTCCACGTTTCAACTTTGGAAATGATCATGCAGACAATGAACTCCGGACTAGGTGCGTTCCTCTAAGTCTTCCTACCAATATGACCGAATTGCGAAAACAAGATAAAACAACTTCTATACTTGTTGTAGTTAGGTGTTAGCGGCGACTCTGTACATTGATGGTGCCGACAAAATGTTTACCAACGTCAACGGCTGGAATAATGTATGGTAATAATGTCAGAATGTGCCCTCTTCGACGTATATGTGAAAATAAGACAAAGTTCTAAAAGCGAGGCCAAACCAACTTTGTGTTTCTTAGTGCTTAGATAAAACTTGTCATTGTTGAATGCGGTTTTGAGACTATCATATATCATATATAAGGAGCGTTATTTGTCCAACTGTTAATGTGGCTTCTTTACAACTTTACTACACTGTACTCAACTAGAGTGAAGCAAGAGCTTGTCTCAGAAACGGATCCTCTTCGCAGACGAGTTTTGGATGGCAGGCAACTCGCCCTTAAGATTAGCGCAAATTCCGTTTATGGTTTTACCGGGGCCCAGGTTGGAAGACTACCCTGTCTGGAAATTTCGGCCTCTGTCACTTCGTTCGGCCGCCTTATGATTGAGCAAACGAAGACTCTCGTCGAAGAGAAGTTCACTATAGCTAATGGCTTTCAGCACAATGCATTGGTCAGTATAAAAGAGCTCTAATTTTGTGTCGTGCTTTTTTTAATGCGCTAATTTATGCTGCTTTTTAATCATATGCTATGCTTTTTGAATAATTATATTTGCCTTCCAGGTAATTTATGGGGACACGGATTCTGTTATGTGTAAATTCGGTGTATCTACTGTGGAAGATGCGATGGCCTTGGGCAAGAAAGCTGCTGAGTTAATTTCCGCAGAGTTTCCAAAGCCCATTAAACTAGAATTTGAGAAGGTGTGTGGACTTTCCTTTTTCATAATAGTGGGACGTAATTTATCACATTAGCTAGTATTTATATCAATCATCTTTCAATGTCGTAATTTATTTTAGCTTTTGAATAATCCTACTTGATGCATTTTGTCATTTATGATATGATTCATGCTTCTCTTTGATGTCGGTTACTTTAAAACCTTATGTGTGTGCTAACAAAATAATGAAACGATTGTTAACCCATTTTCTTTAGGTATATTTTCCCTATCTGCTTATCAACAAAAAGCGCTACGCTGGCCTCTATTTCACTAATCCTACCAAATACGATAAAATGGATTGCAAGGGTATCGAAACAGTGCGTCGAGATAATAGCCCGCTCGTGGCCAATTTGATTAACTCCTGCTTAGAGCTTATTCTTATTCATCGGTAAGTGCCATTCACACAGAATTTTCGAAACTGATCCGCCCCATAAATATGGAAAAAATTCGATTTTATTCTATCTTATTGTCGGTATCATCCATTAATGTAGACGAAGTTATGCGCGAGATGCATTTGTATATTTCACTAAATCAACAAATGTTCACTCCGTTTCACTAAAAATATATACAGATGCTCAAATCCCAAGAAAGAATCCGACGTTGTTCGAATATTAATATATGTTCTTCAGCGTTTTATAGCGTTTCGGACTTTATGGCAAGTAAGAACAGCAACAGAGATGGGCAAAATGTTTGAAAACGTGCCTTTTTAACCGAATGCTACAATCCAAGTATATATAACAAAAGGAGATTATTGGAGCACAACAGTTGACTCGATATTGGTTTCTCACATACTGGCCTCACCTCAACATTTGTTGATCAGGTAATTCGGAAAGTTAGCCCGATACTTTGGTTTATGCTCCAGACCTCCAATAAGCCCCGATGACTCGAGTCACTGGTCTGGACTC